TAAAAGAGGGGAAGAGAAGATAATACCGATTTTAGTAGAATGAGTCTTCCACCAAAAGAGTGATGTCTCCTTTTCCAAGACGATAACTTTGACTTCATCCTGTCTTTGATGGGATTCCAAAGAGAAAGAGATTTATATTGGGCCCCAATTGGTATCCCCAAGTACACAAATGGAATAGAAGTAATGGAACAATTTAAAAACATAGCCATTCTCTCCAAATTTTGTTCCTCGACATGTAAGCCTATGAACTTACTTTTTGAGAAGTTCACTTTAAGTCCTGACACTAGCTCGAAGCACCTAAGTATAGCCTTAATGGATCTAACATTCTCCCACAAAGGTTTTCCTATGAGTAGGGTATCGTCTACAAACTGGAGGTGGGGAATATTAAGGTCCATCTGCCCTATAGAGCATCCCTCAAACAATCTACCCCTGGCGGCTTCCCTCATTAATCCACCTAAACCTTCTGCCGCTATTAGGAATAGAAAAGGTGCTAGGGGGTCACCCTACCTTAAACCCTTAGACATTTTGAACTCTTCAGTTGGGCTTCCGTTTAGAAGGATGGAAATTGAGGAAGACACTAGGCATCCCCTAATCCATGATCTCCATTTGGAGCAAAATCCCATACGACTCATCATGTAATCTAAGAAAGACCAACACACTGAATCATAAGCTTTTTCAAAGTCTATTTTAAAGATCATACATTTTTTATGTTTATTTTTTGCTAAATCTACAATTTCATTGGCTATTACCACTCCATCTAACATGTTTCTACCTCCTACAAAAGCAGATTGATATTCTGGTATGATGTCACTTATGACTTGTTTAATTCTTCCAGCCAACAATTTTGTAATAATTTTATACAAGCTTCCTATTAAAGATATCGGTCTAAAATCATCTAGATCATGTGGACTACTATTTTTTTGAATTAGCACCAAGAATGAGGAATTTGTATCCCTAGGTAATTTTCCATGCTCTTGAAAATCCTGCACTGCTTTGTAGATATCATTTTTCAGAATGTCCCAACATTTTTTGATGAACAGCATATTGAACCCATTAGGTCCTGGACTTTTATTACTCTCACAGCTCCACACTGCTTCCCTTATCTCCTCGACACTAAAAGGCCTTGTCAAAGACCTGCATTGGTGTGTATTCAATTATTGAAATTGAATTCCATCAAGTACTGGTCTATCTGTAATTGTTTCTTGAAACTTACTCTCAAAGAAATCCTTTGCCACTGTTTTCAACAATTGTGGATCCTCACACCATTTTCCATTCACATCTAATCCTATAATTTCATTCATTTTCCGTCTTTTGTTGACACACATATGAAAGAAGCTAGAATTGGAATCCCCTTCTCTCGCCCACTTCAACCTTGACTTTTGTAGTAAAAGGAACTCATTTTTGTTTAACAAATCCCAGAGTTTTACATTGAGATTTCTCCTGGCTGAAACTTCCCTTTCATTTAAGTTGCGGGTTTCCACTGTTGAGTCTAGGCTATTGATATTTCTTTTTACTTCCTCAATCTGTGTGTGTATGTTTCCAAATGCTTGTTTGTTCCATTCCTTGATGCTTTTTTTCAAGTGTTTAAGCTTTTCTTTAAGTATGAATGCCCTCAACCAGTTACTAAGAATCCTTTCCATTTTTGCTCAACAAAACCTAAGAATGAGGGGTCATCAAACCAACAATTAAGGCTCCTAAAGGGTTTAGGTCCCCAATCCAGCCTGATATCCTTTAGTAGAATTGGTCGATGATCTGACACATCCCTTTGAAGGGCTTTTTGCGAGCAATGAGGCCATTGGGTGAGCCACTCATGAGATACTAGGAATCTATCAATTCTACTGGTTGTTATTCCGTTTGGTCTAAACCAGGTGTATTTGCCTCCTCCTAGGGGGAGGTCAATCAATTCAACATCTTCTATGAATTGATTATAGTAGAGCATCTCCTTCTCCTTCCTACGGGTATGTACACCTTTCCTTTCTGACTTTAGCCTAACAGTATTAAAGTCTCCACATATACACCATCTCCCACTCCCATAACTGATTTTTATTTTCTGAATTTCTTCCCACAGGTTTTTCTTCCCTCTAAGATCACATGGTGAGTATATATTTACTATGAAACAGGGGATTTTATCATATCCCCATTCTCCTACAACCCCCAAGAACCCATCACCAGAGAATGAAGTAATCATTGAGAATACTTGTTTTTTCCAACAGCTTAATATTCCCCTGATCTCCCCTGTGAAAGGAGGAAGCAGAACTCTATTTCTTCTTCTTCCCAAAATCCACTACAACACTCACTTGTTACTAACTCAATTTTTGTTTCTTGTATGCAAATAGTCTAAATTCTCACATTTAATGAGGGATCTAATGGCTGACTTTTTGGATCTTCCCCCAAGACCTCTAATATTATATGAAAGGATTTTCATTTAAGAATTGAATTTGCCCCTTTCTTATTCTTGTTCATTACTTCCTTTTGGTCCCTCCATTCCATCTCAACCATTCTATTCACTATCCCATTTTCATTACCTTTATGTGTTACCCCAATCTGTTTACCTATTTCCCATAAGTCTCTAGCCTCATTTTCTATACTTTGATTCCTATCAGATTGGTTATTGCAGTTACATACTACCTTATCACAAATATGACAAAAAGAAGGGGATGGGTATGTCACCTTACTATCAGGTTTTGCCTTTTTAATCACTACCTTTTTCCTTTTTTTGGTTGTGAGTCTTTTACTCTTCTGTTTCTTATTTTTTTGCTTTGTTTTTATTGTTCCATCCCCTTTGGTTATGCACCCAGAATGATGAATCTTCTTGATCATTTTCGCTTTCCAGTCCTACCCAGAATTCATCAACATCATTTTTGGTTTGAGAAACATCAAACGTTTTTGAAATTTGGCCCCCTATCCTAGAAACACCTTCACCAAACGGAGAATGGGGTTTGAAATCTGGGGATGAAAAACCAGGAGGATGGGTCGGCGAAGGTGGCAGTGAATGTTGGTAGTGGATAACCCCATCAGGAGGTACAATCTGGTTGGATGATTGAATATGTGAGGCAGAGAGATTGTAAATATTGGGTTCAGATGCAGATCTTGATAGAGTTGTATGACTTCCATTTGTATTCCTAACACCTGGAGAATTAAGGTAAGCCTATGCTTGCCCTTCCTCTCACACCCCTTATCATTGCTCTCAGCTCCTCTTTGATTTTTTAACACCATTCATTCTATTTATTTACCTTTTTATTATTTCTTAATAATCATTCATTTTATTTATTTACTCCTTTATTATTTCTACTCCCTTTTCAAAAAAAAAAAAATCAATGGAAACATAAAATACGTTTGAATAATGTTTTTGTCACTGCACATTGAATTGATATGTAGCTTCTTCTTCTTCTTTTTATTTATTTTTTACATAGCAATAACATAATAATAAAAAAGGATGATTTCATCTCTTCACTTTGATATTTAGGTGAATGAAGTTCTTGAAGCAATAAGTTTCTTTTGTGCAGACTTTTTTTTCTTGGTTTTTAAAGATTTTTATTTATTCAAATATTTAACCTAGATTTTCTTATTTTAAAAATTTGGAATAAAATATAGAGCTCAACTCCACTAATAATAATAATAATAATAATAATAATAATAATAATAATAATAATAATCTAAAAACTTTTTAAAGATTTTCTTTTTTCAACTGTTTTAAAATTTTTATCAATTAAATAGTTTTATTTCCAAAAACTTTTTATGAATTTTGCTTTTAGTACATAAACAAAGTTTTGACGTATCTTAGTTTTTAACCATTTTCTTCAATAATATTTTTTATCTTGTGATGATCTTAGACCTTAAATCTTAAATATTAAATATTGTGATAATTATGTTAGTAGTTACATTAATTATCATATTATCAATTAGTTTGATAAATATAATAATTATGTGTATTTTTTTAAAATTATGTTTTTATTTGTTAATTTTTTTTTATGAAATTCACTTTTAGTCTATAAACAATTGTTTTGATAGGAACTAACCTTTTCATGAAATTCATTTTTAATTTTTTAATGATTTATTAACTGATTTTAATCTATCAATTATTATTTGTCATTGTTTTTTATTTTATAAAAGAATTGTTGTCAAGCAATGATGTGACAATTCCAATAGCTTTGTGACTTCCTAGTTGAATTAACAGTTTCACATAACAACTACTTGGTAAAATGTTGTTCTGAGATTATTTTAGCAACTCAAAGGTGCTACAAATTTACTAGTGTGGAAGTGATTTGAAATTTTGAAAGAAAAAAACAGTAAGATGTAGAAAATAAAGTTAAATTACTTTTTCATCTCTTATTTTATTTAATTGATTTCTTTTGATCCCTATATTATAAAAAGGTTGAATTTAATCTTTTAATTTTTAAAAATAACACAATATAATTCTTTTCATCCGGTAATAATATCATTTCATTACAATAAAAATGACATGTATCTCCACTCAACAATAATAGCTGACTGTCCAAAAAAAAATGTTAATTGAAGAAAACGTTACAAGTTAAAGTTGGTCAAAGTTTTGTAAAAGATTAAATAAAATTTATAAAAAAACTTAGAGATAAAATCACATTTAATTATATTTTTACTAACATTCATTGATTTAACAGGTAATGCAATTAAATTTTTAACCTCAATGTTCTGAATTCTAATCTTGAGTTTAATAATATATATATATGGGGCAAATAATAGTATAATATTTTTACTAATATCATGATAATAAAAAAATCATACTTTTATGGTTCATTATTTCACACTTGCAGTGCAATATTGAATTTCCTGTAAAAAAAAGTTTAATACTAATTTTTTCTTAAAATAATTCTCTCTGTATGATGAAACTTTTTAGTTTTTACCCTTATAAAACTTAAAATATTACTATAATTGAATTGTAATTTATGATGCGATTTAATATGTAGTTGTTTTAATTTTTAAGCGATTCTTTCTTTTCCATCTCAAATCCCACTTTTCCTTCCTCTGAATCAAGGGAAATGTCTTCTTCGATTCTCCTTGACGAACTCTTCGTGGAAATTCTATCATGGATTCCGGTGAAGGATCTCATGCGATTAAGGTGCGTGTCAAAGTCATGGAACTCCCTCGTCTTCGATCCTACATTCATCAAACTGCATCTTCAAAGATCTTCAAAAAACACCGACACCCTATTAACATTCCGAGACTACGAGAACGATGAAAGCAGGTACTGTGCCTCACCATGCTCCATACACGGTTTTCTCGATAACCCATCATCCACAATCGATGCTTGCCACCGATTCAACCACGATTACACTGTCTTGGGTGTCTGCAATGGGTTAGTTTGCTTACAAGATTCTTACCGTGGGGACGAAATTGAAGAATACTGGGTCCGATTCTGGAACCCCGCCACAAGGGTCATGTCCGAAGATTCCCCACGCATAAGACTTCGTTCTAGTGATTACAATTACCCTTATTTATTCATGTTTGGGTTTGGCTACAATGATTGGAGTGATACTTACCAAGTAGTGCTTTTGGATAATAAATCACACAAAATGGATGTGAGCGTTCTTTGCTTGGGTGAGACTTGTTGGAGAAAAATGTTAACTTGTCCTTCTTTTCCCACTCTCAGTCTACATGGGGCTGCTGTGAGTGGCACTGTGAATTGGTTAGCACTACCTGAATTGTGTTCTGGTTATCGATGGGAAACTGTTAGTGTGGACGAGTTAGTAATCTTTTCGTATGATCTGAAGAATGTGAGATACAGTTATTTGTCCATGCCTGATGGGCTTTTGGAAGTTCCTCCTGATGTGCCTGTGCTTGAGGTTTTGAAGGGTTGCTTGTGTCTCTCCCATCATCATGGGAAGCGTTTTGTTGTTTGGCTAATGAGGGAGTTTGGAGTTGAGAAATCATGGACCCATTTGTTGAATATAAGCTACGAGAACCTTCATATTCATGGCTTTATCCATGCCTTTCCAACTCTTCCAGTGATTCTGTGTGTGTCTGAGGATGATGATCTCATGTTGCTGGCAAACTACGACAGTGCGGAGTTTATTCGGTACAATAAGAGAGATGATAGAATTGATCGTCATGAACTTTTCAATGATGATAAATTTTACTTTTTCTCTTATGATTATGTTCAAAGCTTGGTTTTGCCGTGTCGAAATTAAGTTATCCTGTGTTTGTGTAGATGGATTTGTGTTAAACTATGTAAGTGGTTTCTGAACCTTGTTTTTTGATGTATGGATATATAGGACAGAAATCATGAAAAGTTTTGGTGGTTCGTTGGTTGGTTTGATTGCTTTGTTGGATGATTCTGTTGGCTATTGGCTATTGCTAAATGTGTGTCTGCTTTGGTTTTGGCTCCATTTTTTTTTCTTGGTTGATACCTTATTCACACACACCCCTTGACAAATCCTTACTTTCTCTCACGGAAAATATTATGTTGGCAAAAAGAAAAACGAATGGCATTAGGCAAGACATAGTGAGATGTGTAGATTAGCTCCATTCCTCTTTGTACCATTCCAATATGTAAGCTTATTGAATTGTTTTATTAATTTTATACTTTTTTATTAGGAAAGTAACTTCTGCTACAATATTACTCCCCAATCTAACAGTGTTTTTTTTTGTTTTTCAAATTTTAAATCTGTTATCTCAGCTTTACTCATAGTTATTAACAAATTACTACATAACAGTTATGTGTTTCGCAACATTTTAGCAAGTAATCTAGGTGTACATCTTGAAATATCATCTGGATCTAGGATTATAACTGCAGTTGCGCACACAATCTTGCTTATAAAGAACTGTTAGTATTCTATGCTAGTATGATTTTTTTTTTCTCTTATCTCGTCTCTCTTTGGGTTCGTTTGTCATATAGTAGCCGTTAAGGCTAAAAGTGGTTCTAGATCTAGCTTAAGCTCAGGGTTTTAAGATATAAAGTTCATTTGCTTAGCTCATGCTCAACTCACGAACTAACTTTAAGCTTGCAAGCTACTCAGCTTGATGGATCAATATCTAGTTGAGTTACTCAAATTTGTAATGTAGAAAAATTCATGTTTTATTGTCAAATACTCAATTGAAAATGATTGAGTTAAATAATGGTCCATGGTTGGACTGCAATGCGTGGATTAATGAAACTTTTCATTTATCTTTATTGTAGCTTTTTATGATAATACTAAAATAGAGATTTGGTCCTAAACGATGAGATGTCTTAAAATAGATGCAGAAATAAACCTGAGTAATTGTTTAGATAACTTAGGTTAAACTCAATTGGTCAATGTCAGTTACTGGGATAGCTGTTGACTGTCATTTTCTCCACTATTACCTTTGTGCAAATCTGAATCTGTTGATGTCCCAGTGACAACAAACTCCTATGAATTGCAAGCAATATTTTGTATAAGCTGATAGATAATAGAGGACAAGCAACCAACATTGACTTGTTCTTTGGAAGTTAAAAATATACATTGCCATAAAAAAAGGATATTTTTTTAGGTTTTAGTTCTAGTGGAACTTAAATATAATATTTCGATTGCACATGTGCAAGCAATTCCACACTGATTCTGGAATAAATTAGAATTGGATGAGTGTTTTATATTTTTTTTACCTCATAATGGTATAATATAACTATATAATCTCATTTTTAATTAATAACACAGCTCTTGCATTAGAAGCTTGTAGTAATGGTATCTGAGTTGAAACTATTTAATTTCCTTTCATTTATAAAGGGATACGGCTGCATCTTTGAGCATGATGTATTTTTTTCCATAGTGTTTTTGTTTTAGTTTTACTATGCTGCAGTTTTTGCTGATCTTGGTTGATGCCCCCAATCTCACTTTATGAATTCTTATACTCATAAGTCATAATAGAGTCTTATTATTCTTTTTAATAAAATATTTGATAGGAATTATTTTGTAAAACTTTGGCAATATGCATATCAGCTGCATAGATGTTGAATCTTTCCAATTTAGCATCTCACTGTTAAAACTTTAGTTGCTCTAATTTGGTCGGTCTTGTCTTTCTAAATTATACCCTTCTCCCAAACCCATCCACACTCATCAAAATGTTTCCTTTTCTCAAATCATATGGTAAAATTTTTTTATAAACATACACAGACTAAGTATATAGCACCAATTCACTCAATTTTAACCAATTTCACAAAACCCCCAAATTCATACTTATAGCCCTAACCCTCAATACATAAAGTAATTTGAACCATTCATCACAATTCACAAAATTACAAAGACAAGATAACAAGTCAATCTTAGATCATACAAACATGCATCTTGCAAAATAAAATCAATAATCTATGAGGCTTAGGGATCGTGTCATAATGAAGCTAGTGGAGGAGAGGTTTGGTGTTTTCCCTTAACTAGCTCCATTGATATACTTTGATCTTCATCCATATAACTCCAAGCTTCAAATCAAACTCACAAAGTGGAAGGAAGAAGGTGAAGGTGCGTTACTTCAAGGTGGAGATAAGTAAGAAGTGAAGAACTTCTTACAAGGAAGAATTCCTTGATAAAATTAAGTTTATAAGGAGTAAATTCTTCTAAGAGAGAATTAAGAGCTTTTAAGAGAGAAATTTGAACTCAATTCCATTTAATACTCAAAAGTAATGTGAAGGTACATGTAGGAGGCTATATATAGTGTTTGATAGTTTATGGTGCAAATTAAGCTAATTAAAGTTACATGTGATCTAGGTTAGATTAACTTGTACTCAAATTATTAACTCTAGTTACAAATTTAAATTTAAATTTTTCTCGTAAAGTTGTCACTTTAATAGATCTGAAGCTTGTCATATGATAAGGTGTAAAAAGTGTAATTCAAGCCAACATCCTAGATCTGAAATGCCAAAGGGGGATTATCACATGACAATGTGTCAAAAGTGTGACTAAGTATAACACTTGTACTTGCTGGTATTTAAATGACCAAGAGAACTTATTGTCCACTAAGTGGACATCCAAGTGAAGTGGACTACATGCCCAATTAGTTCTATTGGGTTATTCAAGCTTAATAAGCACATATCTCATTTTCTAGTTACATTTTCTTAAAATTCTATTTAAACCCCAAAAATAAAAATTACAAAAAAATAGTTTTGTATACTAATTATCTATAAAAAAAATACAAGGTCAAAAATAAATAAATAATTACGATGAAAAATATTCACAAAGAAAAAATGGACAAAAGAATTAATCTAAAATTTAAAAGAAGCTTAAGCCTTTTACTTTTCTTTCATTCCTTTTGCATTCTCCTCCATATTACACTTGTAATAGGATTCTTGGGGTGTAATATGTCATCACTACTTCACTACTCAAATTGAGATATAACTTCCCACTTTTCATTCATTTTTCACTCTAGAAAGGTAGAATTTTAAGTTGTCATATAAGTTTTCTATTTTCAATATTTTTGTTCATTTTTTTCTCATATCATAAATTCAATTATTTTTTGTTTTCACGAAGTTTTTTATTTATTTATTTTTTCACTTACATGCAAGGACAGATCTTGAACCCTATTAAAGGGGCCTGTATTTTTTTTAACTAATAAGTTTAAATAAATATTATTCTATGACTTGGAGGGCATGTTAAGATCGGGTTCAAATTTGATAGAAACAAGTAAAGAAACATAAACATGCCTGATGATGAGGATTGCAATAATAAAAGACATCAGCCAATATAACATAATTAAAACTAAAATTTAATAATTAAAAACAAATTAAAAGCAAGAAAAATATGCAGTCTTTAACATTATAAACTCTAATCGTGAATATGCGAATACTACAAATGGAGCTATACACGATCTCACTATTAATGTTTTTTTTTTCTTCATTATACCATCATTTTGTTAATTAAATACATAAATTTGAATAATTATGCTATATATTCGTGAAGGTGAAAGTATAATAAATATTTATGGTCAAATATATTAGATAATTCTCACTCACTTTTTATTATTTTATATTTATGGTTCCATTAAATATATTGATAGAAAATAATACATTATTGTTACTAACTTAACTTTTGATTATATACGTTTGAAATATTTATTAGAGATAAGTGTTTATAATTACTTAAAAAAGATATTAAATCCATTTTCAAATAGATAATGAATCAACTTTAATATATTCATATTTTGCCCATTTTTCATTCATTTTCCACTTTAAAAAGGTGGCATTTTTGTTGTTGTCATATTAGTTTTCTATTTTCAATTTTTTTTTCTTTTTTTCTATGCTCATACAATAAATTCTATTTTTTTTCTTCATTAAGTTCTTTATTTATTTATTCATCTAAATGCAAGGACGGATCCAGAACCCTATTTAAAGGGCTGATTTTTTTTAATTAATAAGTTTAAATAAATATTATTCTATTACCTGAAGGACATGTAACATGTTGAAGATCGGGTTCAAATTTGATAGAAACAAGTAAAAAAACATAAACATGCCTAAAGAGGGAGGATTGCACAATAATAAAAGACGTCAGCCAATACAACATAATTAAAATCAAAATTAAATAATTTAAAATTAAATTAAAAGCAAGAAAAAATTGTTGTCTTTTTTGCTTATAAAAAAAATTGTTGTATTTAACATTATAAAATCTAATTGTAAATATGCGAACATTATAAATCAGGGACAGATCTGCATTGAACTAAGTGGGGGCACTTGCCCCACTACCATTTTATACATATATTTTTTTTATCTAAAAAATAATATATTTTAAAAAGTAAAAGTTATATTTTATTAATATATATATATATATATATATAAATTATAATATATATAAAATATAAATTTAGAGGATGTGTTCATTTTTTTTTTGATATTTTTCAAATTTTTTAAGGAGATTAAGTCTTATATGTGATAAAAAAAATACTCCTTAATAATGATTAGTTTTTTTTAAGTTTAATTAATATATTCTCATATTATGTAATATATTAAAATAATTAATTTTTTTGATAAAATAAAATTTGCAGCATGCATTTTTTCTTTTGTGCTTTCTATTTATATTGTATACGTTGATTAAAAAAATCAAAATAGTAAAGATTGTAAGATTGTATTGTTGATAAAAAGAAATCAAAATAAGAAATATTAGAAGATTTATGTTCTATTTTAAATTTTTATTATAAAATATATTTTAAAATAAATTATCATTTAAAAATTTATATAAATTATTAAAAACATGTTTATATCATAAATAAATTAAACTTGTTTTTATAAAA